ATGCTGGAGGGAGGGAAATCAAGGTGACTGGGTCCCTCAAGAGCAAAGGAGCGTCACCGTGGAGGAATTCAGGCTGAAGCACGCGGGTAGAAATGTGCCACCCCCTCCTCTGCTTTCCCCAAATGCGGAGGCCTGGGAGGAGATTGAGGAGGAGGAGGGTGGGGAGGTAACCTGGGTGAAGGTGGAGGTGGGACCCAGCCCTGTGTAAGGCCACCCGACAGGGATGAAACTACCCTGGAGCACCCACGGCAAGGATGCCTGTGAGCGTAGCAAGCTCTGGAAAGGAAAGAAAGAAAAAATGGGGAAAGAAAAAAAATAAAAATCTAAATCCCAGTTATTTCAGTGAATCGTGCCAACCTGCCTGGTCCCATCACCCGGGGCACTTATTTATTTATTACCAGAGGCTATAAGCCTGGTGGCACTGGGGTCCGAGCCAGAGGCCGGCCGGCAGCCAGGCGTGAGCAAGGGGCACGTCCCCTCTCTCCCTCATCCCCCGCCAATGCCCTCCACGGGGCTATGCCGGCCATACCTGCTGCTGCAACCCATCCCAGCCACCCCGAGGGGGGACGGAGATGTCCCACGTGGCGGTGGCACCGTGGCCGTCCCCTCCTGGAAAGGAGCCCGCTGTATCCACGGCCACAGGCAAGAGGTAGGTGGGCAATGGGGGATGCGCCAACCCTTGGGCTTTCCCCTCCCCTCCCCTTTTTAATATCCTTATTATATATTAATGATAAAAAGAGCCCTATCACCTGCTGTAAATCTCTCTGCCGGTCTTAGTGGTGTGTGGGTCCCCGTTCCCCCTCTCCGCCCCTCTCCCGGGGACCAGCTCAGACCTCGCCACGTCACGGACAAGGCTTGTCCCCGCTGGACCATCCGGAGCATTATTGGGGATTAAAGGTGGCATCCGCCAGAAGGGCACGTCCTCCCCTGTCTCCCTCGCCGACAAGCGGGTGGGGGCGGAGGTGGGTGGCCAGGTCCCCCCTCCCCAGGCAAGCGGGGCATGGGGACAGGGTGTCCCCTGCACCCCACCAGCCCCTTTTCCCTATGGATCCCCAGCTCGTTTTAGGGCTCCCGGGGCGATGGCGGGGCCGAGGCTCCGAACAGCGCTGGATCCTACCACCGTGCCTGCCAAAGCCCATCCCCGGCACGCTGGGCTGCCAATTATACAGTGAACTAAATAGCGAAGAGCCTTTTAAATGACATTGCCTGCGTTATCCCAAAGGGACCTTTCAAGGGTACGGCTGGGCTTTTTTTTTCCCCTCCACTTTCACATCCCTATGTGTGTTTAATAACTCTCTTCCCAGATGCAGAGAGCGTTGGTACTTCCATGCCCTGTGCAGGTAAGTCCCCATAGGTGACGGTGTGGGGGGGCTACGGGAGGAATCACCTCCTTTCTCATCCCAGCACAGGGGTGGTGGGGAGGGGATGGGGGGGCAGAGAGAGGCTCAGCATCTCCAATTTTCTGGAAAAACCTTGGAAACAGCCATTGTTTGCCCCAGGAGTGCGAGGGGTTGCTGGGGATGAAAGGACGACGGGTGGGAAGCAGAAGGGAATTGCAGAGGGGGAGGTCTCGATGGTTGCAGAGGGGCTGGTGGAAACCACGGCCCCGGTTTACTGGAGTGTGACGGGCAAAACACAAACTCTCTCCCTCAAAATGACCTTTCTCTTTCGGCGTCTCTCTCCCTCGCTTGCTTTTTTTTTTATTATTTTCCCCAGCCAGGGATTTCGTCTGAAGGGTATTAGTTAATCAGATTCTGAGAAGCAGATGTTAGGTGATTTAGGAGGAAAAAATGAGGCAACTTTCTAGTTCAAGCCTCCACTGGAGCCCGGAACGCGCATTGCAAAGCGAGCGGCTCCCTTCCCGCTTTGGGAGGATGCTTTGAGGCTTCGGGCAGCACCATTAATCTTAGCCTAAATTAAAAATGAGACAGATGGGGTGGTCTGGGGGCTTGGGGACAGGTGGGGCACCTATCTCTGGTGACGGGGACAGACAGACGTCAGCATGTTTTGGGGCTTTGAAGGCAAGAAATGGAAAGTCAGAGCCCTGCATCCCTTGGGCAGCTGCCCTGAGGGCTTGACGGCGCTAAAAAGCTCCTTTCCGTGTCCCACTGGGGAGGATGAACAGAACTTTCCACTCTCAATCATGACCATGACATGCAAATTGTCCCTTCACAGCTCTGTGCCTCAGTTTCCCCATGAGGGATGATGCTGGGGGGGCTCAGTCTGATGTGCATGGAGGCTCCAGAGCAAAGCCAGGTTTCAAGATATCACGGTTTCTTCTATGACCCAAAGTCTCAGGTTGAAGCTGTCCTACCAGGCAAGGGCTGGGGAATTGTCTTGCCCGCAGTGCCAGCGTGCAGTATTAAGAGTTAAGCACAACTTAATGCTTAAAATACCAAGATCATCTCACGGCGCTGACTTAAGATGCAATTTCACCATCAGCTTTTAGCTGCTCTAACTTTGCTCCACTGTCAAGAGAGGCTCCCGGGCACGTGGTCTCCTCTGGGCTCTCCCACCGGGACCGAGGTGTGATGGGGCGTGTGGTCAGGTCAGCTCACCCATCCAGCTGAACACTAAACACTCCCGCTCTCCTGATTCAAACTGATTTTCTTTATTTTTTTCTGATTTAAAAATAATCTCTGGTGGTTTGTATTAAGAAAAAATAAGAACACAAAAAGGGAAAGATATGTGCTGCTTTTCCTTTTTTTCTTTAATGCTTTTTTTTCCCTTGAAAGATTCAAAAGAGCTTTGTTTGGGCTGGGCTTGTCGCAGTATCCCTTTGCCTGCCTCCTCATGCTACATGGGCACTGAAGCGTGGGTTTTCTGCAGCTCTCGGTTGCCGTCTCCCCACAGAGGTTGTGTTGTGCTTTCTGCACCCCCGTTGCTCCGATGTGACATCTTGCTCTGCCCGCAACAGCTTTTCAACAGAGCCAGCGAAACGTCAAGCCTGAGCTGAATCCGGCCCCACGGAGAGCCGCTGCGCCTTGGGCATGGCTGAGCAGGATACACGTCCATCGCTGGGGCTGGAGGACTTGGGTTTGGAGTCATTGGGGCTCCTCAGCTTTGCAGCAAGTTGCTTTGGGGGGGCAAAACCGAGCTGCTGCTGCTTCCTCCAGGCATCATTTCTGCCCCGTTGCTCCAAATACTCCTCTCTACATGTCCCCAAGTGGGAAAATTGGCACAAAAGCAGCCAGAAGCAGCTCTACAGAGATGGATGCCTAACAACAACCATGCTCCATGCCTTTTTTTTAAGCAAAGAAACATGATCTTTAAGTAGCTTATGATAAATGGTGGGATTTGTCCCCCCAAATCCAGAATGTCATGACTCTGCTGAGGAAAGAGCAAGGTTGTGCCCTCGTCTGGTTTATGGATGCTGGCTCCTGTATGAAGTTTTACTTTTGGGGTCGTAATGCTGAGAGCAGAAGAGGGAGGATTTGCAGCAAGCCAGGATGTTAACATCGACTTCTGCAACGGATTTGGGTTTCTAGTGTCTCCTACCCAACTTCACCAGCAGTGCATCAGCATGGACGGATGAGTCCGCTTCTGGGGAAAGGGGAAGGAAAAACTTCAGAGCTCCAGATGACATTCAGTCATCTGGAGGTTGAGACACCGAGTGCAGCTCGGTCCCCATGGACAGGATGGGTCCCTTCCCAGCACCTGGCTCCAGGAAGCAAAGCCCGCGGTGGGGAGCATCCTCATCGCGGGACTGGCCCCAGCACCGCTGCTGCTCTGTGCAGACGTGGCCTAAATTGCGTTGCTATTCTTAGCAGCCGAGGGCATTTGGGTTTTTTCACTCCCTCTCTCTGAACTTCGCTGGGTAAGAAAACCAGCGTGCCCTTGGTGGTTAGCGGTCACACTGAGCAGCTCTATGTGTCCTGTGATTTCTCATGTCTGGAAAAGGTACCTGTGGAGGGGAAATCTGTAGGGGGGTTGAATTTACTTGGAAAGTGCATTTTTGGGCAAATCTTCATAGAAACATTGCCTGTTAACCTCTAATTTCTGTTCATGCTTCTCCCTGAGGCAGGACAGGTAATTTCCCAGCTCTGTAACTTGGCCTGGTCCCTGGGCTCCTCTTTGTCTTTGCCTCCGAGTTCAGTACAACAGCAGCGGCGTGTTGGGGAGACGTGCACCCAGGAGTTTTTTGGGGACATGGTGTCCCTTGCTGAATGCCTGACAGAGTCGGTCTGGGAAAAAATCCACCCATGGCCTGAAAGACGCTCTCCAAGTGACCTGAGTGTTTAGTCCTCGTCTTCTTCCTATGGCTGGGAATATCAGGTCTACCATGAAGAAGGCCTAGGAGAGCTCTGGAGGACATCACCTTGCCCACTGCCCACCTCAAAGTCTGGATCAAGACAGGGGGTCCCAGTTCGTACCCCTTTTCACGCAGAGCAAAGGGGTTCTCCAAGGCTGGTGGACATATCCTTCTCCTCCTGACCTGCCTTCCTCATGGACTGCACTCCCCAAATCCCAGTGTGGCCCCTAGTTTAGGAATTGCTTTCTGAATGCCGGTTGACCCAGCTGCAACTTGCCCAGGACCTCCTGGGCTTTGGCCCAATGCCTCTCCCAGCTGGAGCAAGGGCTGCTGCTAACCAGGACAGCCATGTTTGATACCTCCAAATCCTGCTCCAAACTCTGGGCCCGCACCTAGAAATGTCTGAAATGACCCCTCGCTGCACAGGGCTGGGATTGCTGGGGAAAGGCTGGGTGGGACACCTGGGTTCGCCCCCATCCTCTGCTGCTGCCTGACCCTTTTATCCTTGGGTGCTGTAAATGGTATTGGGAGGTTTAATGATGATAATTAAGCCATGCCAAAAGGGCTTGCAGGATCCGGAGATGAACAACTTGCTGGAAGTATAAGGCTTTTGCCAGTCAGTGAAATTAATGTTTGCATTAAACAAATACAGGGTTTTCTGACCTCGGGTTTGTTTTATTCTTTTCAGTCGAGCCAAGCGATACGTATGCACAATTGAGCTCTCTCTCCCTGTCCGTTCACTTGCAGATCCTCATAGCGTGGGAAAGACACAAGCTGCCGGCATCCGACCCGGGGATTTATGCTGCTAATCTGATTAGTGTATGATGGACGTGTCCAGTTGGAAGGAGATGGAGGTGGCACTAGTCAGTTTTGACAACGCCGACCAGATCGTGGAGGATCCCTGTTATTCAAATGACCTAAGCCCCGCCGGCCAGTCGCGGAAAGGCCATCCCAGCTGCGCCAACCTCCTCTCCAACTTGAGAATCCTCATCAACAGCGAAAACGCCAACAATGAGACCATTTTCTCCAGGTTTTCTGCCGAGTTCAGTGAGCACCTGGTGGGGGAGAGGGTGGGCATGGATGAGGGGGACCAACGAGTCATCATCAACATCGCTGGGCTGAGGTTTGAGACGCGGCTCAAGACCCTCAACCAGTTTCCTGAGACCTTGCTTGGGGACCCAGAAAAGAGGATGCGTTACTTCGACTCCATGAGGAATGAATATTTCTTCGATAGGAACAGGCCCAGTTTTGATGGGATCCTGTACTATTACCAGTCCGGTGGGAAAATACGTCGCCCGGCCAACGTCCCCATCGATGTCTTTGCTGATGAAATCACCTTCTATGAGCTGGGTGATGAAGCCATGGACCAGTTCAGGGAGGATGAAGGGTTCATCAAGGACCCTGAGACCCTCTTACCAACCAATGACTTTCATAGGCAATTCTGGCTGCTCTTCGAGTACCCCGAAAGCTCCAGTGCAGCCAGGGGTGTAGCTTTGGTCTCCGTCCTGGTCATTGTCATCTCTATCATCATCTTCTGCATGGAGACCCTGCCGGAGTTCAGGGAGGAAAGGGAGTTTCAGTCCGCCCAGGAGCTTTCTAAGAATCTGACAGACACCTTGCTGGCCCACAGCACCTTCACGGACCCTTTCTTCGTCATAGAGACAGCCTGCATCATCTGGTTCTCCTTCGAGCTGTTTGTCCGGTTCATCGTGTGCCCGAGCAAGACCGAGTTCTTCAGGAACATCATGAACATTATCGACATTGTGTCCATCATACCCTACTTTGTGACGCTCACCACCGAGCTAATCCAGCAGAGCGAACTCAACGGGCAGCAGAACATGTCCTTGGCCATCCTGCGGATCATCCGGCTGGTCAGGGTCTTCCGCATCTTCAAGCTCTCCCGGCACTCCAAGGGGCTGCAGATCCTGGGGCAGACCCTCAAGGCCAGCATGCGGGAGCTGGGCTTGCTCATCTTCTTCCTCTTCATCGGCGTCATCCTCTTCTCCAGCGCCGTCTATTTTGCAGAAGTGGATGAGCCGCAGTCCCATTTCTCCAGCATCCCCGACGGCTTCTGGTGGGCCGTGGTCACGATGACGACTGTTGGCTACGGAGACATGTGTCCCACCACCTTGGGTGGGAAGATCGTGGGGACTCTGTGCGCCATTGCAGGGGTATTAACCATTGCTCTGCCCGTCCCTGTCATCGTCTCGAACTTCAACTATTTCTACCACAGGGAGACAGAGAACGAAGAGAAGCAAATTCTGCCCGGGGAGGTGGAGCGAATACTCACCAGCGTGGTGACGCGAAATGGCAGTATGGAGTCGCTCAATAAGACCAATGGGGGTTACCCTCGAGACAAGGCCAAAAAATGATGGTCGAGGCCATGACAGGACTAGGCACTGCCAGGTGGGATTGGCTGGATAAGGTATAAAACATCTGCACGCTCTGATTTTTTTTTTAAACCAAATGTGCTGCTGCTTTTTTTTTTTCTAGACATTTTTCAATCTCTGATTTCCTGTGGCTGTTCAAATAAATACCATCTTTCTTATCTCTCTTCCCTGCCCATCAGTCTGTTTTTTATTATTTGATCCTCATCTGCTTGACATTTAGCTTCTTTGTCCATGGCGTCAGAACGGAGTTTCCCATATACAGAGATTTCCCCCATTTACCGGAGGGGGAAAAAAGGGCAAAATGACACGAGATGTTTTGCTCGGTGGCACCCAGCTGTCCAGGGATGAAGATGGGTCCAGCTCCCTGCTTTTCTTAATCCGTTTAAAGTAATTCCTCCCCATCCCCACTCAAGATCTGGGGGTCTCAACAATTCCCAGATCTGGGACTGAAAAATAAGCTAGCAAAAAAAAATTAGAAGTTGTATTTTTAGCTGGATGTGTTCCCTGGTCTGCCTGCCTGATTAATTTTGTTGGCACAGCAGGATGGGTAGTGATGGACGGGACCAAGCCACTGTGGGGGGGATTAGGAGGAGAGGGATGGCGACCGGTCATGGTGGCACGGCCACCAAGAAAGGTCCAGGGCACCGTGGCTCAGTGGGGTTTCTGATGGAAAACTGAGCTCTGAGAGAGGAAAGGGGATTTCTCCTGCAACAAATGCTCGACTCAGGGGTTCTCTGGTGTACAAATACCCTTGGGGACGAGCCGCCATGACCTCGTAGCAACTTATGTTGCTGCAAATGGGGCACAGAGCAGTGAGGGCTGACATTTCCCGACCGCTCAGCTTCCCATTGTAAAAAGGCACTTCTGGTTTTCTAAAACATGCAACTTTCCATCGGCACTTTTGATGGGAGAAACCAGCAACAGATCATTTTGCCGTTCTCTCTAATGCCAGCAGGTTTTCTTCCGACAAAAATGTTTTGTTCCAACTTCACTGTTTCACTTGGCTTTTTTTGATGTTTCTGCCTACATTAAAATCACAGTTTCTCATGCAGTGTCTACACATCCGCTTTTATATCCCACATCTGTTACACTTGATGTCTCATCTCCTAAAGGTTCAACACGATCATTACGCAACGCGCTAACATCTCTGGTTTGCAATTTCATTCAGAAAGGAGCCGTGAAAGATGGATTTATTTTTTTTTTTATTCCTGGTCTGATGGAAAATGTGAGTTTGGGCGTGCTGGGATTTTCCCCGTGGCAGAAATCCTGCATCCCTGCCAGCTCTGCTGCAGAGCTTGTGTTGGCTCTGGTCTGGGGGGTTGTTATTTTGGTTTTGGGGTCTTTTTCTGGACTGTCTTTCTGCAATGAGGTCTTTCGCACCCCAGGGAGATGGATCTGGGACATGACCAGCACAGCTCCTTCCGGACAGGTTTTTCCCTCTGGGACTAATCCCCCTTTTTGCCTGCTCTCCTTTGTTTCTTCCCATTCTTCCACCATCCTCTTCCTCACCCCATCCCTTGCAAACCCCAAACCGTCATCCCGGACAGGGGGAGGAGCTGTGAGAGCTATTTAATCTCCTTCCCACTGTGTTCAAGTTCTCATCATCTGTGGGGACGGCTGGAGGAGGCACAGCTGGGCACAGCTGGAGAGCAGCACCCTGAGACATGCCCCCCTCCTCGCCATTCACCCCTCAATTCTCTCCAGCAGCTCTGCCACGTCACTATTTTTATTTCATAGCAGGTTCTTTCTCCTTTTCCTCTAGAAAGCTTGTACTTTTTACATTCTTTTATTTTTTTTAGCGCTCCCCTCCCCAGACTTCACTCCCAGCCTGTCAAAGCTGAAGCACTTTTGGTGTTTATTCCTTGGGAAGTCACCACGAGGAACCCTGGTGAAAAGCTCTGGGTTGGGAAATATTCAGCCTGATCAGCTATGAGCACATCTTCACCGCTCCTGCTCCCTTAGCAAACAGGGACCGAAATGGTGCTGGGATGGATGGATGGATGGATGGATGGATGGATGGATGGATGGACGGACGGACGGATGGTTGGTTGGTTGGTTGGTTGGTTGTATGGAAGGATGAACAACCTGATTCTTATTAACTTGTAAACTTTATTCTCAAATAAAAGAATAGATGCTTCAGAGTCCGGCATGCAGAAAATATTGTTTATTTGGACTCAACTTTTTGTTCTTGGCTTTGTGCTGCTCCAGGGGAGATGGTCTCCAGCTGGGAATCGTGGCGGGGGGGGGTTGAGACGTGGGACTTTACAGACCTGGAGGCTTCAGATCTGTGAGCTGAGGACAAACTCTGCAGGAGTTTCCCCAGCACTTTGGCTTACACTGTTCATTGCAGGAGGCCAAGTCCGAGGGGGATCCCTGATTTGTGCTATGAGGACGGGGTCAGAGGCATTAGCTTATTTCTGATTTATTCTAAAGTAAAGAGGAGGACAACCAGGCTATGAATACCCAGTGTCAACACTCAGCTGGTGCTTGATATAAACCTGCCAGAAAACCCATTCTCCCATACAGTTTGCAGCTTAGTACCTTCCCAAATACAGGCCCAAAGCTCAATGAAATCCACAAAAGGCTCTTATTAACTGTACTATTCTTGAGTCAAGCCTTAATGAGCCAATCTGTCATGTCCTCTAGCACGCAGGCTGAATTCCCACTTGAAATTTTGTACTGCCACAGAAGAAGCTACACAGAAGACAAGAAACCTCTTTGCTTTATCAGAAAGATGTCCTGGCTGCTTTTTATCCCTGGACCAAGTTGGAACTTGTGGCCACATGTGAAATATTTGTCAGCTAGAAGCATCTCCCTCTTCCTTTGAGCTGAAATTTCCAAGCAAGCCCTGGAGAATCCTTTTGCCACCAGGCAGATAATTCTCTGCTTCCCCCCTGTGTGCAGGAGTACAGTTTTGGCACCACAGCCACGAGATGGCACTCCAAGATAGACGTTTCCCTGGATGTAGACAGTCCCGACGTGTTTCCCCCTCTCTAATTCACGCTTGGAAGCTTTTACCTGGTTTATTTCTTTATTGCATGTGTGAGCGTGGATGTGGGAAGGGATGCTTTGGCCATGGGGGATGCTCTCGTGGAGGAAGCCCATTGCAGGGTGGCGTTTGCCGGGGACTCTTGGCACTGGTGCAGAATAGCCATGCCAGGAGGATTTAGGAGCTGCCTCCTGGCACAGCATTTGGGCTGTTGGTCCTGCCCGGAACAAGGACACGGCTTCCCTCTCCTGTCCCGCTCACCAGGAGCACAGCTACAGCCCCTGGGTGCTCCCGTTGGGTCTTGTCCATCCTGGCAGGGGCTGGTCCATGGGTTGCTGATCCTCATGGAACCTTGCCATGGTTCCCACTGCATCGGGTTCATTTCTTGTTGCTCATAGCAATGAGAAAATTCCTGTGATGGAGCCGATTTTGGCAGTCCCGTCTGCCCAAAATCCAGGCTTGGGTCCCTCTTGGGCACAAGGGATTCCCACCCGCTGGGGGTCAGCGACCCAGGGCTGTGTGAGCTCAGGGAGCTGCGGGGGGGATAAATCGTCTTTCCACCATCCCACATCATGCACTCTTTTCTAGTCAGCTCAAAGAGAGGGCAACTTTTGCATGGTGAGAGGAGAGAAAAATTCTTTTCCAACCCCTTTGGCCTGGATCTCTCCCTCTGCATCCCTGCTCCCATCCGGTAAGCAATCTCCAGGGCCCATCAGTGATGGAACCTCATTTGCCAATAAATAATGCAAATAGCCCCTTATCCCTCAGTACAGGAGAAATTAAGAAGCAGCAGGGACTCTTGGATGTCTCTCTCCCGGCCGCCTGCTGAGCGCTCTCACTGCAGCTGATCGGGAGGAAAGAGGCAGCCTCCGTTTTTAACAGGATTTTATATGGATGGAGGTAATTTCCTTTCCAAAAATGGGAACTGCTAGTTTAAAGGAATGAAACAAAATTAGAGAAGGAACCGTCCTGACCATTGCGAGGGAAAATTATCATGAAATAAATATATTAGGTTTTGGTGGGTTTTTTGCACAGTAGTGAAGGTTATAACTGAGGACTAGCTGGTGTTTCCAGGCTCTTGGTGACCATCTCACAGCACAGACTGGTTCATCATTGGGAAAGGGGCATTTAATTGAGATTCTTTATGGGGAAACAACTAAGTGTAACTGGCTTGTTCTAAACTGTGGAAACTGAAGTAAGACATCACCTCTACACATGCGCAGCTGTGGATGTGCTTCTATAAAAGCCTCACGATGGGAGGGCACGCATTGGGTGAAAGCCATCTCCTGCCCTGCTCTCTTGGGCTGTCCAAGGGAAATCTCCAGCCGAGCCACATCCTCCTGGAGGAGTCACTGCCCTGAGATGTCTTTGGGCTATCGGACACCATGTAAGGGACACGGGGCAAACCTTGAGCCCAGGGACGGAGAGCTACTAGGTGAGCCACTGGTGGGACATGATTGTGGGTCTGCAGCGATCTGCTCTGAGATGGGCTGTGGCTGGGCTGGTGAGTTCATCCTCCCTGGATGGAAATTTGCGTTTTCCAGAATCGCTCACTTGATGTAGCTCCAATAAAAGAGCCAGTCTTGACTTCCTAGGGACCCACCCCTCACCCCCTGCAGGCTATGACCGCAGCTCCCAACGGTCTTAGTCAAGACTGTGTTGACCAAATGCTCCTTAGCCTCCACGAAGCAGCAAGTGTATGACAGCTCCTTCCTAATTCCTGCCATTTTATCACAAATAAATATGCAGCCACCAACTCTGAACCATCAACGCTTTATTCGTGTGTGAGCGAGAGATTCCCTGAGGATCTCTTCCTACACCAAAAGACATGGTTGTGGTCTAGTTGCGTGATGAAACCACAGCACTGCTGGCATTGTGGTGGATCTAAATAGCCTTAGCCAGTCCAACGCGGTTGTTGGCCCGGTCAAAGATGCTGTAATACACCCTGATGAAGACATCTCCCAAGATCCAGAGGTCCCCAGAGGTGTTCTGGAAGCTGCTGCTGCAAGGTCCTTGGTCGTTCTGCATTTGAGCAAGAGAAGGCAAGTGGGGGAAAAGTGGGGAATCTTTTCTTGCATTGCTCTGGAGGCCCATGGCCATCCATCTCCTGTCTCCCATGGGAATGGGAGAAGCCAAGGTGACCATTGGAGAAAGTAGAAGGACCTTGAGAGAGGC